GATGAAATCGGATAGGGATGAAATCGTTTAGAGATGAACGAGTTTAAGAGTTTTTAAGAGTTTTAGCCAAATGCTTTATAAGATAGTATAGAATAGATTATATTGTTAAACCAAGACTAAATTACTTTGTTATTAAATCTAAATTAATGTATAATAAAAAATTGAATTAAAGAAGTTACACCAAAAAAACAAGAATAATTAAATAGTTAATTTGATATTAACATTGATATATTTTTTTTCAAATAAATATTTTATTCAAAAATAAAAACACATAAAACCGTATTATAACATCGACATAAGCAAATAATAAAATAGAACATCAAAATCGAGATATATCTCATTACATTGCACGAATATCCTTCTATTTGTATTCAAACAAGTAAACAACTATTTCTTAATTGTTTCTTAAAAATCTATTTGTTTAAACACACCTTTTTCAATCAACTCTTGGACAGCTCAGATCAAACCATGAGTTCAAGTTTTAATCTTATCTTCTATCAAATCCGAACCAATCCATTCGAACTAACCTCAATTAGTCGGACTCTTTTGGAGTGTAAAATGTGGGTGGGGAACTCTACCATTAAGCTCTCTTCTACAACTATATAGCCGTGCGAATTTGGCTTTTAGCTCTTTTTCCGGCGGAGTAAAGGTGGCATTCAATTTTTTTAAACAAAGAGAAAGAAAGGAGGAGCACGACTTCATTCAAGAGCACACAATGCCAATTTCCCTCCTCTAAAACCCTCTTCAGTAGCAAATCGATCATCTTGGAACAGTTCTTTGATACATAATGTTCAGAAAAATCGTTTCTTTCCCCTCAAAGTCGAAATCAAGAAGATTTGTACCCATACCACTTAATTCCACCAACTATTGCTACTGCCCTCCTTCAGCACCACTTTCTTTATCATCAAAACGTGTTTCTCCCAGACGAAGTTCGTTTGAGATCATCACTCCAACTTCGTTGAAGGGTTTCAATCGATCTTTTTCATCTGGGTACCGTTTAAATTGGACGCAATATGGAGGGCTTAATATGCATAGAAGTGGGTTTGCAGTTTTGGGGAGAAGGAGATTCAGTAGCGAAACAGCCCGTGAGTCGATTAATTATGACGTGGTTATCGTCGGAGGAGGGCCTTCTGGGTTATCGGCGGCGATAAGATTGAAGCAATTGTGCCGTGAAAATGATGTAGACTTATCTGTGTGCGTTGTCGAGAAAGGGGCCGAAGTGGGTATGTTTGATTTACCCTTTTTGACCTTTTAAGCTCCATAAACTGCAATCGAAATCCTAAATTGTGATGGATATTATGTCAAATTCATGTTTTTTGTGTCTTTCGTTTATCATGATGGGTTACCTTCTGTTTTCTTGATGTCTAGCAGAGATTGCTTCACATAACGCAATCTTCTAATAAGCAAGTTAACTCCAAGGTTTTAGTAAATATCTGCACATTAGTTACAACTAGCTTGTGGGTAAGGTTGAAACGGATCAGAGGCAGGCTCAGAAGCTCGGAGTCAGAACCCTTCGCGATCATAAGGCTCTAATGCAGGCTTAGAGGCTTCTGATTCCGTACTTAGAACATCCAGAAACTCAAATTTCCTAAGCAATCCTCTTCATAAAGAGAAAACTGAATTGGAACGACTTGGACCCAGCCAGGGGCGCCCAGGACCCCGTAAGGGGATGCAACCCCTTGACTCCGCCTTATGGCGATCTAAGGTGATAGAGACAACATTTCTGAGCGTGCACTCCACACCTTCTAGCTCACATTATGAATGCCTGTTTCACCAAGGCGATCCCTTGTAATTTGTTAATCACAATTACAACAAAATGCTTGATGACACTAATATAACCAACAATTGTATTATGTGCAACCTTTGCTGAATGAAACTTTATATTGTTCACAGGTGCAAATATATTATCGGGAAACGTTTTTGAGCCCCGTGCATTGAATGAACTTATTCCAAATTGGAGAGAGGAGGAGGTACATTTGAACACTTGCACAGGCACCAGATATTTGTCGATGATTTGTTGGATATATTTCAGACTGATACTTGTATATTTGAACACTTGCACAGGCACCAATTAGCGTCGGTGTTTCTTCTGACAAGTTCATGTTGCTTACGAAAAAGCATGCAATCTCTCTACCAAATCCTTTTGATAACAGAGGAAACTATGTTATAAGGTAATTAAAGACTTCCTTTTTTCAACTCATCATGGTGAATTACTGCTTCGACCTTAATTTCACTATCATATACTCTGAACTCTATGGATTTTCCTGATCTGCTATAACTTATCTTCAGTTTAAGTCAGTTTGCTCGGTGGTTGGGACAAAAGGCTGAAGAATTAGGTGTTGAGATATACCCAGGCTTTGCAGCTAAAGAGGTACTGTGCCTATAGGGTTTCTTATCTCTATATCTCTCCTGTGTATATATGGCATAACAAGCTACGTTACAGGTTTTATTTGATGAAAGTGAAAATGTTATTGGCATTGCAACTAACGACATGGGAATTGGCAAGGATGGTTCTAAGAAAGATAATTATCAGCCTGGTGTGGAATTAAAAGGTAGCATCTTTACTCTCACTAATGAACAATATGAAAGATGGGACTCATTTTCGTTTCTGGGGCTGCATATTTACGGTTTTACCTGTTAACATTTCTCTTAAACTCCACAAAAGAAAATAGAAAAAAAAGACGCCCCACTTTTCTTTCTTGTAAACCAAACAAACCAGCCCAGTATAAATAATAACTATGAAAGCATATAAACTACAACTCATACTGCTTCATATTGATTGAATATTCAGGGCGTATAAATCTTTTTGCTGAAGGTTGTCGAGGTTCACTGTCAGAGGTTTGCAGAAATTGACCCTCTGTTCTACCAGCATCTTAATTTGCTTGTTCGTTCTGTAATACCAAATGTTATGTTTTATGTGTACAGAAAATAATTAGAAAATACAATCTCAGAGAGAAAGGGCAAGGGCAACACCAAACTTACGCTATAGGAATTAAAGAGGCAAGTGAACTTCAGCTAAATAACATCCATTTGAGCTTTATTTCTAGATCCTTATCTCACTACATTTTGCACACTTATTCTCCATGATTGTGAACTGAAGTTTACTGTAAAATCCGATTTCTGAAAATGTTTACCACCCAGGTTTGGGAAATCGATGCCAGCAAACATAAACCTGGTGCGGTGCTTCATACTTTAGGGTGGCCCTTGGATCACAAGACTTACGGGGGATCTTTTTTATACCACATGCAAGATAGACAGGTAAGCAATTCGACTAATATAGTTAAAATGACAAAATTCAATGGCTTATAGCATAAGTAATATAAATATTTCCACAATGCGTGCTTACCGATATGAACCTTGTTTGCAGGTTTCCATTGGACTGGTGTGTGCCTTGAATTACCACAACCCGTTCTTTAATCCTTATGAAGAATTCCAGGTAACCTTAAAAATACGTAAAGATTAGTATATCAGGGTACTTCATCAATAGTTTAAAGTTTTAGGACATCAATCTATTTCTTTTTTTTTCCCCCAAAATACATTGATAACATCTATTTAATCCACCCTTTGTCATTATTTTCTAGCAGTCTGTAATACTTTCCTCCTGCAGAAACTCAAATCTCATCCTGCCATCAGGCCTCTTCTTGAAAATGGAACAGTTGTCCAGTATGGTGCTCGGACCTTGAATGAAGGCGGTTTTCAGGTGCATCACAATTTTACCTTTTTTCATAAATGTTGTGCAGTAATGTATGCATTGTACATTTGATGCCCAAAAATGTTACAACCACAAGGGTTGTGGCGTAGTGGTTGAGGTCCTGGGGGATGTGGTTGAATATCCCATCTGCCCAGGGTCCGATTCCAGGCGTACACAACAGTTGTAGCCACCAAGTTTATCGGGGCTGATTTCTTGCAGTCACAATTTGCCGAGATTAGTCCAGGCATAGCCTGGGACACCCTTCCAAAAAAAAAACCCGTATGGATGCATTCAGTTTTGGGCAATAAAACTTTGTTGCAACTACTGAGCTATCATGTTATGTGCATAATGTCCATGGTGATTGTGATTGTTGTATTGGTAATCATATGATGATGTTGAACACAAATATAATGCTAGTTAATTTTCAGTCTATTCCGTATCCAGTGTTCCCTGGGGGAGCAATTGTTGGCTGTGCAGCTGGCTTCTTAAATGTTCCAAAAATAAAGGGTACGCATACCGCCATGAAATCAGGTAAAAATATTTCTCACATGCTTGGATCCGAGTACACATGAAATATTATATGAAACGTACAAGCTATTCTGTTATAGGAATGCTAGCAGCGGAATCTGCATTTGGAGTACTTCATGAGGGCTCAAATATGAAAACCTACTGGGAAAACTTGAAAGATTCATGGATATGGGAAGAGCTCCGCCGTGCACGGAACTACCGCCCAGTTAAGTACCATTCATTTTATTATCTGTTTGTAATTTGCCAACTTGAAAACTGGTGGCGGCGGTGGTGGTGAAGGTCTGATCATAGGTTTTCACAAAGTCGGAACCATGTATAACGTGGCTAACTTATGTCATGATAGTGTATAAAACTGTTCATCTTTTGAAGTGAATGATGCTACATGTTTGCAGGCATTTGAGTATGGGCTTTTTCCTGGTATGGCTATAAGTGGTCTGGAACAGTAAGATCTCACCCTTTCTTTCGTACATACATGCAGCATGTGATGACGTTAACTGGACTATTTTAATTTTGGCAGTTATTTACTGAAAGGAAGAGTCCCGTTTACTCTGAAGCATGGAAAACCGGATCATGAGGCAACACATGTAAGGAGTTCCAAGCATACTATATGTTGCATAAATCATAGTTAATGGTTGATTCTTCTGGTAGTTAGTACACAAATGAGGGCTTGCCCTTCATTCTATACTTTTAGTGAACACTTTGCTGAATATATATGTAGGGTTGGGTTAGAAAACCACAAAAAAGGGAAAACTAAGGAACACCCTAAATCCCTGATAATCATTCATTTGTTCGGTATGCACGTGCATAAAAGTAATTTGTCCAATATGCACGTGTCGTGCACAGAAACCAGGAAACTTTTCAATTACTTTTATGCACATATACTACTGGACAAATGAATGATTATTAGGGTGTTCCTCCACTTTTTTGTGGTTTTACCCTGAACCTGAGTTTATATATATACACACACAGAATGTAGGGAATGCTCATTTAGGAACCGTAAATAAGTTTATAACTGTGAGAACCAACTATTCATGATCAATATACTTGAACATTCATGAATATTATTCATCGTGAATATCATGCATTTTCATTATTCACGATATTCATCACCAATAATTCATAAAACATAAAGAAGCTATGGGATTTACTAGGGTATGCATAACAAAATTGAAACAACCTCTCCGCTCCTCGGGGTAGAGGCAAGGTTTGCGTAGATGGGCCAAGAGTCAAAGCAAACCTACTAAAACTTCTTACATATCAGATTTTCACAATTATACACAGGAAGCAAGTAAATGCTCCCCGATTGAATACCCAAAGCCAGATGGGATTGTTAGTTTCGATGTACCAACCTCCCTGTACAGGTATTAATCTTACTTGCGTATCTTCTTTAGGACGTATTATATGTTTTAAATTCCAAATTTAAAATACTTTACAATGCACCTTAGCAGCAAAGGTTGGATTTAATGAAAAATAATTGCATGGTAGGATCACTTTTATTGGTCTGACTGAAATAAGCTCATCGTATTGTGTGCTTTCTGAAGTACCATTTCTTAAATAGGCCTTTCATTACTATTTGTCATATGTTATCTATCATTATAGCATGTCCATTATGTTTCTACATCATATAATATATACATACATATACATATATACATACATATACATATATATATACATGTGCATGGGATTATACAGGGTTGGTTTGGCGATCAATAATTATAAATTGTATTAAAAATCATTGGAACTCAGGAACAAGAAAACTAATAACAAAGTCTATGATACTCATACGGATGTATAATAAGTTCAGTTTATTAAATGAAACCTGTAATTACGTTAATGCCTATCCAGGATTAGTTAAGGTGAAATTTGGCATTACACTTGAAATTTTCAACAGTTTCATATCTATCTTCCTTGCATGAATTTGTGTTGTCCAGGAGCAACACAAATCATGATCATGACCAACCAGCTCACCTTCGCTTGAGGGACTCTAAAATTCCTGAAGCTGTAAATTTGCCAAAATATGGTGGTCCAGAATCACGATATTGCCCTGCTCGTGTATATGAGTAAGATGCTTATCCTTGCTATTGTCCCTTTATTTCTTAATTGCTCTTTTGCTTTTGATTTTTTATATTTTTTCTATAAGCTCAGGTATATCGCGGATGACAAGGGTCAATTGAAGCTGCAGATTAATGCTCAGAATTGCTTGCACTGCAAGGTCTGACCTGCCTTCCTATCTACATTTAACATGGTATTAGAGCCGTTGTCTAGCACCATCTAGCGATTCGCCACACTCTTGGGGTCCCATATCAGCTAAAAATGGTCCATCAAACATTTATATATGTTGGAACTTTCCCTCTGTAAGGGATCTTTTAGAGAGATTTCAAAGGGGTTCCACATATTCTAATCTAAAGCTAAAAAATATGCATGTAAAGACGAGATATTTTCACTTTGTTTGAAGCAAACTTCATATGATTTCTGATCTATTTTTCAAGCTGCAGGCTTGTGATATCAAAGATCCGAAGCAGAACATTGAATGGACAGTTCCCGAAGGCGGAGGAGGCCCTGGCTACTCAGTAATGTAAAAAAATTCTGGAAACTGAAGCTTCCCGTTTACTCCAATAGAAGCAAGTAGCTTCATTCCGTGGAAATCAAGAAAGCAGAACTAGTGGAATCTCATATACATCTAACATTTCGAAGGAACTTAGAATTCAATACTAGTTAAAGATTTGTCCTTTGATGAATTCTAGTTCGTATCTGGATGACATTAGGGTACATTACATATGAATAAGCTTGATATATTCATTTAGTTGATTTTTTTGATGATTTGGGTACTTCCATACAAGTTATGAAAGATGTTTCTAAACAATGCCATCCAATCTGACTATTGTTAACCAAGATTTTACAGAAGTACTAACCGTCAAAACTTTCTACTCAATCATGGGGTTGAACTCGGAAGAAATATCTAGTTTTCGGCTTTATGTTGACAAGGAGCTTCTATGTCCTGGCTGCTGTGGATATGGGTGTTGATGTTTCTGCTGAATTTGGAGGAGTTGTTGCTCCTGAAATGGATGCTGCTGGATTTGGTGAAGCAGCGGGAGTTGTTGCTGCTCAAATGGATGCTGATTCTGGAGTTGCTGAAACTGCTGTGTGTTCATGGCATGGTTGCTGGGGTGAAACTGGTAGTTTGCTCCAAATGATTGACGGAAGTTCATCATTGATCCACCGTTCATGAGGTTCTGACCTGTAAGTATTTTCAGACGATGTATCTCCTCCTTCAATGCATCATTGAAAGCTAAGAACATGAAAAAGCAAACAATGCTTATCAGAATATATGATCATACACTTGAGTCATATAAATGACTGAAAAATCAAAATAGAGCAGGTAAGGGAAAATGGAAACTTTTACTCAATAACTTAGGGTCTGTATGTTAGAAGATTAATGAGACTCAACTTATCTGATCAACTATACATCACTGTTTGGTAGTGGCTTAATGATATAGAAAGTGGCTTATTCAGTAAGCTTCTAAGAGAGCTTTATACAGACAACAAAGTTTTTGTAAAACCTACCCCTCTCAATTAAAAAACAGTCCTTCCATCTATGAAAAAGCCCTTGCAACAAAAATCTTCCCAATCTATACAGAAAGATTAATCCACAAAAACAGCTTTGTCCATATAAGACTTGATGGAAAATCAACCAAAAAGTCCCTTACCATCTTGCATGTGAATCTGCTGCTTCATGGTTTGCAAACGCAGTTTGAGTTCATTGTTTTCAGCTGCCAAACCATTTGTATCTCTCTGAGAACAACACAACCAAAGGAAAACATGGAACTGTTGTCAAACGTAAGATCTTTAGTTATTTAGATAAAGAGGAACAGTTTGGCAAACTAGTCGTTAGCTAAACAGTAATTGAACAAGTAATGATTCAGTAAACCATAGAATGACCAGCATTATAAAAGCATAGACGGACCTGCAAAAGGGCCAGCTGGGCAGAACATGACGACGCTTCTGTTTGCAGTATCTGGACTTTCCTTTCAAGCTCGGCTATGTATCTCATCTTTCTTTCTTTCGACCTTGCAGCAGACTGCCTATTTGCCCATATCCTAATAAACGGGAACGTTGGTCAATCTTCAGATGATTCATGTATAGAAACAAGTTGAAAAGCAAAGTTAATAAATCCAAAGATCAATGCTGAATATCACCGAACCATCTGATACGGATGTTACATTAACTTCTCATAATTCGTAGCCACCAAACCTTCTCAATATACTTTCTATTTCTATTTGGGCATATTCATCAGGAGTATGAGCTTATTATTCATCATGAATGTTGTAATGGAACTTTCCCTCTATATGTGTGTGTATATCACAAGTGAGAATCAATGATGCAATCAAGATTATGAACTGCAAAATACAGTAAAAATATGTTCTTGTAGCAAACATAGCTATCAACTTTAGTTTGATTGAAGCTACCTTTTTGCATGTTTTGGATCAACAAGAGCAAGCTCAGCAAGCTTGGCATCAGATATTGATTTCTTAGCATCAGTTGAAGATATCTCTTCTGAACCTGAATTGAGCATCTCTGGCTTAATAGCAGAACCATCCATGGACATACTATGCTGATGTTTAACTCTGATGCTAGTGACATGGTTCTCAGGTGGCGGCGATGCAGGCGGTGTGGCGGCTGTTTGTGAATTCTGGACTGCAGAAAAAGATGACTCACCCACCTGAGAACCAGATGTTGCAGATGAATTATTCAACTTATCCATATGATCAAGATACATAGAAAGCAAATCTTCTTCAGTTTCATCAGAATATGAAGGACCATTGAAGCCACCTACAACACCAAGATCTCTATCAAAGCTAATATCATCAGGCAGAGTGACAATTTCAGAAAGGGCTCGTCGGTGGCCCAAATACTTAGGTGGGTGATCAAGCATTCTGCTTAGATCATGAGTTAACTGATCAGATTCATCACAATTTGTGGGTACCATGGTTGACCCATTTGGCTCAGATTTCTCATTATCTTTGTTGCCATCTAATGGAAACCCTGAATTCCATCCAGAAGGTGGCAATAAACTCCCATTAAGATTCTGAGATTCATCTTTCTCCATTTATAGAACAATCTTCAAAGGCGAACAAAGTTGGAATCCCCAAATCCGAAATCCAGATTTTCCTCGTGTAGCAAAACAAAAGAAAACCAATTGATTGTTGTAAACCAAAAACAGCATAACCACCGAATTAGCGTTCGTATTCACATTGAGAGCCTAATGAATTCAAATATCACAAAATTCACAATGCAACAAAATTTTACCATTGAATCGAATCCTGAAACGATTAAAATTTCAGAATCAAATCCCAAGAAGATTCCACATTAGTATTAATCAAAGAACCAAACATGGGTTTGAAAAAATCCCACGAATAAACTATAGTTATATGGCAAAAACAAGGTTTGAAGGAACGAACCCCATAAAATTCGAAGGACGAATGGCAAGAGAAAAGGGATGAAGATGAAGAAAATGAGAAAGATTGATAGTTTAGGGGGTGGCATGGATTTCTGTGAAGAGCGGAATTCCAATAAAAAATCGGAGGCGAAAACTCGACATCACACACACACACACACACACACACACACACACACACACACACACAGAGATGCGAAGCATCTAAAACAGAGACAACCGCCATCCGAATTCCAATATGCAGGTTTCTTTTTGTTACTTGGGGAAGTTCAAGTTCTTTTTTTATTATATCCAACCAGCTAACTGAACCGATTAATCCTTGGGTGATTATCTGTTTTATAGATAGTCCAGAGTTATTGCATTTGAACCTCTGTAGTCATAAAAGGATTTTTATTCCTTCTTGAATTTGAAACTAGGACCTCTGATAGTTTTGACATTTAGTGCCAAACTCAAACCAATCAGAAAGATGGTTAAAAATTTCGGTTTTTATGCTTCCAAAATGTGTTTGGAATTATTTTTATTTTTATTGGTTTCATGGTATTTGATAGTTTTAGCATAAAGGAAATTAAGAAAATTTCCAACACCTATTTTATAATTTTAATAAAGTTTTTTTAACGTGTATTCGAGAATTTATAAAATATTTTTAATAACATAATTAATATTAAAATTTGCTAAAAATAAAATAGTTTTTAGAAGTGGGTGTAATTTATTTTTTATAAATTTTGATTTTTTATGCTCTATTTAAAATAATTATAACATAATTGACGGAGATGTTTTCAGATTTTACATGAGATTTTGATGAATTAAATCCTCCAAATTTGCAGGTCATTTATTAGTTGGATCATAAAAGAATTCAACAGAACATCTTGAAAAATAAACAAAATTTAAAGAAAAAAATATTATTTAATATGAGTTATGATTCAAAAGTGATTATGAAATCGCTTATACAGATTAAAAAATAGTTATGACTATCTGCATTCCTAGAGTTTATCGGCATGTCGTGATGTAAATCTTTAAAAACATAAACAAGTCTAAAAATCATCTAGAACGGAATTATAAGTCAAGAGTAAAGAACCCCTTAAAGTTACTATGAAAACCATTACAAAATTGTTACGACATATTACGAAATGGTTATATGACCATTTGAATCTCCAAAATTTATAAGTAAACAACTGACAAAAGTCATTTTAATCCAAGTTACGAGCCAAGAGTCAGAGCCTCCAAAGTAAAAAACAACTGTAATTACAACTTGCTATATAATTTTATGGGGAAAAAGTTATATATTATTTTAATGGTATAGTTTTTATAATCATATTTAAGACATCAATTATTTATAAAGTTAAAATAGATAATAAAAAAAGTGTTGACGGGTCAACCAAGACCTTCCAACCTTTTCTGTGTTGTACTAAAAAGTTATTCATTTTGACTCGTTAACTAAATGGTTGTTTACTTGCGGCTTAATTAGGCTTATTGGTCTATCTGGCTTATTCACACAGCTCATTTGGGTTGTTTACTTACGGCTTATTCGCACAGATAGAAATGGTGTGTTGTCCTCATTCAGCCACAAAAATGACACCACTACCCCTTATTTAATGCACTGCCTCCTTCCCATATTAGACACCACATCTTCGTCCTCTTTATGATTTTTTGTTTTGATGTTCAAATAATTAATATTGGGGGGTAAATCGGTCATTTATGTTATTTAAACTGTTGGTTCAGATAAAAAAAAAAAACAACACCCATTTATCCAGACATACAAATTTATTTATACAGAACTTAATAAAAAATTTGGTAAACAACCTCTAAGTCTATGTTATCACATCAGACATCTATTACAAATCGATTATATTTTTTTTGTAGCTAGTAAAGTTTGAAGGGGATGGGTTGGTAACCACATTTGTCAACCATTCTTCGGCTCCGTCATCACTTACCGGGATCATTATTTCTTAAAGTACGTACGATTTGTATGTCGCGTTAATACATTTATAAGACATCATAAACACAAGTAAAAAATTCCACATTTTGCGGGGTGTTGTTTCTTGCATAATGATGGATTTTTCTTCGCTTACATCATCCATCGTATAACGTACGTTTTTCATGCATCTGGTATTTCTACAATACGTATTTAGTTGCATAATCTTGATTTTAACTTCTTTTTCAAACGATGATTATTGTGATACAAGACTGTTGATAATATTTATGATGTCTCGAAAGAAAAACGTGAAATATCAAATTTGCACATTTACTTTGAAGTGGTATAAAATAGCAACATTAGAAATTCATGAACGAAAAGAATCTTAGCAAAGTACGATACAAAGAGAGAAGTTTTCGGGTTCAGGTATAAAAAACGTAAAACCATTAGAGCACACGGTCTCCACCAGCCAAACCAAGTCGTTAAACTGCTTTGGCCCTACATTTTAAATAAATACGATGATCAAGTTAGCCATTGATCTCTTTGTTTAAAAGAATAAAACCAAAATAGAACTTAAGTTGCAAGTAAAGATAAAAATTAAGCCATTAAGCCATGAATTATAAATTACATCTAACAAATAATTCTAACCGTACTGATCTAAGAAGCAACCTAACTGACTAGAAGTCCATTAAGCCACGATTTAAAAATTGTGTCTGTTTGAATGTCAGTTTTCATTTCTTTGCTTTTAGATTAAGATATTTACAACGAACATGGTTCACGGACTAGTTATACTAGACGGGTAATATTAACGATGTTATGTTTGTCGAGTGAATGTTGCTCATGTTATCAAGAGGGTAGAAAGCGTCGAAATTGAAGGTGTGAGGAGGGGGGGGAGCCAAGGAGGACGTGGATGAGCAGCCGAGACTGGAGACAGTGGCTTTAGACATTTCAGAAGACATGAGAGTGGAAGGGATTTTGTAAAAACGCAGGACTAATGTAGCATATTGTGTGTAATGAGTTGTGGATAATGGACTAGTTGAGAGTTCATTTTTATAACCGTAGGCTTCCGAGACAGCTTAAATGCACAGACTAATCCCCCGAGCGACCACAAATGGGATGGAGTCATCGCAGGTGAACCTTCATGGCTACAAGAGTTTTGATAATGCTTAGATTCGAACCTGGAGAAGATGAGATTTCCTCTATGTCTGCCTAAACTTTAACCAGTATTAGAAAGTTGACCAAGCCGTAGCCAATAAATTCATTTTATATCTTTATTATTTTTGGATTAATTAATATAATTTGATAAATATTTTAAAAAAACTAAATATTCATTACAACATACGTTATTAAAAACTCATGTTGAGACGATTAAAATGACAGTAATATCAAATACTAAAAGAACCCACAAAACTTATATATTATTTTTCAAGAAACTTATAGATTTCATGAACTTTAAATAATGAGGGATTGATAATTAAGGCGATATATTTATAATGGTTATTTATGGGTTTACAATCATTGTTTAGACTTTAGATAATAGAAAATATTACAATAGATGGCGACAAATGTTGACTAGTTGGCTCCAAAAGTTAAAAATACCTGAAGATCTCAGGTTCAAATCCAATGAGGAATAAAAATCCCCTTATGGTCACAGAGGTTCAAATGCGATGACTCTAGGCTATCTGTAAAATAGGTGGTTGCCCTGAGATTAGTCGTTTCACATAGCGGGTTGGATATCCAGGTTAATCAAAAAAAAATGTTAACTAGTTTAAAGATTCTTGAAAAACTTCTTGAATCAAAGACATATATTTTGTGTTTTCGTCATACCCACGAAACCATATAAATAACAGTAAACCTTCACAGTAAAAATACTATAAAGATACGATGTTTTTGCTATAAAAACCCATTATATATTTTACCTTCACGATATTTTACTGTGAAGTTTTAATGTTATTTATTTATTCATTTTTTTCTTTCTGTGGTGGTAACGATTCTAATTACATGTTTACAACCTACGGCCTCTCAAATTTTCAATTCCTATTTTAAAAATGAAATCAACAGCCTGAAATCACCCCAAAAGAATAATAACCATAACCTCCTAATTGCTTTATTTAAAAAACTTGTATTATATTATATTCCAGTAATATAGTATTTATAAAAATATTAATTATTTATTAAATTCAGAAAATTGATGGATCAATCAAACACACCCATTTGAACCCCAACTGTTGATCTGCCGATTTTGACACCAATAAACCAAACGAACAAAAATGACAAGCTCCCAACACCACAAAACCCCAAAAAAACGAACGTCTTTCGGTCCTCCAAATCATCGAATTTACGTAATGAAATTATAACACCCCTTTCAGAAAGATTTGGCTTATTACGTTTTTCAAAAGTTACGGTTTGACACGATTGAACAAACAAACGGCTAAAAGCTCGTTATGTGTTTCTTCCGGATTTCAAGAAAAAGTTCCTAATGTACTAGAACTTCGGGCACGATTAGGGTGGTGGTTTTAGAGTTGCTTTCCTAGCAATATCGACAGTCTAAACTGCACCAACACGAACCAGTTACTTTAACCTCCAACGAAAAAACCAATTCTTCTCGTTATACCATTTTCATCTTTGTTCGTTAGATATTTGAAGGTAAAGCAGAAATAGCAAAAACCTTGCTTCAATTCGTGGTTTGTAAAGCCAGATAGGCATTTTGGACTACTCGTTTTTTGTTTAAAGTCTATGCCTAGTTCCTCTTTAACGCTTTAGAACATTACGTATTATAACTTATAGGAATAAAAACGAATATATGTCTACAGAGGTTAAAGGGGAACGAATTTTATAAGGACATTACAACTTTACGTACAACTAAATGAGGATGGAGTTCACTAAGAAATTTAAATGTCGTAAGAATGAAGCAAGAAAAAGATGTGACATCCACACGACTGCAATAGGCGTAAATCCAAAAGAATAGGAATTGGAAATACATCTATTTCTAATAGCATGTGGTATGCAAATAAACAGTAAAACACAAGTCAAATGTTTGATTATTAGTACAATATAAGAAGTAATTTATAAAAGACAGCATTAAAGAAACAATCATATCAATCTATATCAAGCACAGAGCAAGCAGCAAGATCAGAAACATCCAACAAGGATAAGATTTGGTCGACAAACAAGTTCTAACTTCCATGGAATACTGATAGTAGCAGGTGCAAGAGGGTGATATACTAATGATCTTCTACCATTTAGAGATTTAAATAAATTGCACATGATTATTGGACTCTGCATTCTGTCATTTAATCTAAGCATAACTAACTTGAGAACTATTGCATGTACCAAAGCTACAATGAACCTAAAGGAAGGTTGACAACATTAAAACTAATCATAATAGCCACTAATGAGTCCAATGATTTTGCAATCATTGGCAGAAGGAATTGCATAGCATGAACAGTCAAATTGCCAACATATAAACTGGCAAGGGGTTTGCCTCCTCGCCAATCCCAAATAGAAACAAGAATATGCATATACAAACATATATATTGGCGTTGTGTGTACACATACATATATGCACACACACATAGAGAAAATAAGAGTTCATGTTCACTTAAGAGCCTGTGTGGTTTACGGCAAGGACCACTAGGGTGTCTAATCCTGCCCATCCTACCTCCTCTACTTTCTAGACATCCGATCTACATATTTTTGTGTACACATATATGTACAAGCTCAAAGAAACTTCTCAAGAATTTTTGCAGCCTTCCCCAATTCTTAACATATCTAGTTGCATATAAGCACCCATTAGAGCATAAACATAATGCCAGATTCCACCAGACTGTTTGCTCTTTCCTACATGCATCCATAAATCACCCAGAGCAACACCTTTTCTAAAACCTATCTTATTTGTTATCTTAGTTTGGTAATTCAAGCAGAACTATGGAACATATAGCACAGAAAGATGGAAGGCATGAAACCAACAAAATTATAATTGACCTCTAGATGCATATCTAAGCATGTCTAGATTATTTCCTGAAGAATCATAAATCAATTTTGAAAAAAAGATAGGCTCAGTAATACCTTGATGAAAGGAACCTCCTTAGTGGTTTCTGTCCGTTCCCCCTGCTTCAGCACCAGGCCGCTTCTGATGTATCTGAAGCAGGAGGTTAGCTGCAAATTGTAGTGTTGATTGATATCGCTCGTTCTTATCAGCATCCAACATTTGCTGACTTGCTCCATATAAAGGAGCCGCAAGTTGCTGCATCTGCTCGGGGAGATGCACACCGGAGTTCTCAACTCCTGGTGGTACCATTGTTTGTGGTTCATAAACATTATTAATACCATATACCTGGCCTGAGGATGTAACAGCATTAAATCCAGGATGAATCACGGAGGGAGCCTCTGTATTCTTTTGAAAACCAGAGTCGGTGTGCATATCCTGTGAGTAATCGAGTTGGTATTGCTGAGTGGCCTGCATGGGAAGTGCAAATTGTACACCCTGTGGTGTCTGAATGTTAGAATTTGTCATAGATGCCACTGCCTCATGGTGTGGCATATTGAAAGAAAGACCTTGAATATGACTTTCTTGGGTAACTGCCAAATTAAGGGCACCAACTGTATTTGATAGATAAGGCTGATGCTGCGGCAAGATTTGTGCCTGTGACTGAAATGTACTGCCAACTTGTTGTACATAAGGTCCAGCTAAATTGGATGTTTCATGTTCATTTCGTCCCTGAAATTGTCTTTCATCAGATGCAACAGAAGTCAGTAGTGACCCTGTCACTGTATTAGCTCCTGGTTGAAGGCCATTAGAATTTATCTTGGCTAAAGAAGCCAGAGTTGCAACAAGTTCAGGTGTTAAAGAAAGTCCAGCCGGAGTGGTACAAGTAGAGGTAACTGGTGGCACAAGATATGCAGGCTGGGGATTACTAGTTATAGGACCTAGCGGCTCTGGATGGGATCTTGGTAACTCATGTGAAACACCACTATACGTGTTTTGTAGCATTTTCTCATCCTTGGGCACAACACCATGCTCATTTTGAGAAGGAACCTGCAATTTATCAATCTGCTGAGGCTGGCTTATCGAGGGACCAGATATGCTGTCAGAAGCATGTTGTGGGAACTTAAGAACAACCCCATAGAGCCGCTCAGGCCCAGAAACCTTCAAAACTGTTGTTAGAAATTCAGAAGGTGGGACTAAGAATAAAGTGGTCCCATCATCAAATTTGGAAACACCAGCTCGATTATGGTCACCCAAGTACCGTAGCAATTCGGTATATGAAGCAAAATCCTCTTCACTATCAGGCAAGAAGAAACTGATATCAAAACCAACAGCATCTGCATAATGTTTTGACAGCAGATCCAATCCTGTTCTAGCAGAGCAATTTACAATTTCAGGGCTGCAGGTTCAAAATTCCAAAAGTTAAGTTATTGAGATATTTGTAACAAGACTAACATACACGCTACATTGATTTATCAATCATTCAGCAATTTGTTACTAGAAATTAAGAGCCTTGAATCATTTACTGCAAAGTGATTTAGAGTGTTCTGCAATAACCCAAATTCTACATGAGTCACTTATCCCAAACTTCAAGAGGTAGGCTAAATCAAGAACCAAAAGAAATTATAACGGGGTGAGCACCTAGGATGCTCAACAACATAAATATCATCCTTCCACACACTCATCTAAGACCAAATGGTTTGTATTTTTCACTCACTTAAATATTTCCTAACACCTTCATCTGGGTAGAAATCTGTGCAACATCTTGGACCCACTCAAATCTCTCCACACAACCTTCTCAATGTCAATCCTGGCCAACAATAGCCTCTCCTAACATCTTCTTGGTACAAGTTTGCATTATTAAGCCATGCATCCGAAAGTATACATCGTAGATGACCTGACCATCTCAGATGCTGCCTCCCAGTTGTTGCCACCCAAACATTCTTTCTCATGTAATCATATTTGATATTATCCCTCATGTGTGAGATCACATCCATCTTAGCATTCACATTCGTGTAACATCATGTCTTTTGGTGGCTAAACATTCTATACATCATTGCAAGTCCCACAAGAATCTTGTAAAACTTGCCACTCAAGACTTTATAATAACACAACTCTTAAAACTTGTCATGCATTTATGGTATCTCACAAGTGAAGCATATAAAAGTTAATAGAGGAGCCCAAATTTTCTAGATAACATACTTAAACATGAAGCAAAAGAAAATTACTTACATCTCATAACCAATCCAATCTCCAACAGGAACACAGCGTGCATGACAAACAGGAATTCCACCCTTAGCAATGATGCCTCGCCACATAGAGTCGGCACGTGGACGACCAATGTCAGGATTTCTACTTGTGAATCTTGTGTTTGAGGGACCAACACCCTTAACTTGTGGAACGCCTCTGCATATTTGATCAGTTGGCAAAACCCGATCATTATTTTCTTTTAAGGGCACAGCATCACCAGTTCTCAACCTTTTGGGCTCCCGTTGAATTTGACTTGCATCATAAATATCCCATGACCCAAGAGTTGGCTTGGTGGATGGATTCCTACTTACTGAAGGAGAAGAAAGCATCCCACTGGAAGGAGAAGACCTCCAATTAGGACCACCTATTGGATTGTTAGGATTAGGGTCAGACACACCAAACTCTGGACCTGGGAGTATAGGTACAAAGCTACCAGGAGGAGCAAAAGGTCGCATAGAAGTAACTGGTCCTCCAACACCATGAGGAACCGCACGCCCATGGAAGCTATTTGGCACTATTGGTAGACCAATTGCATCCAATTGTGCTGCTTGGAATGGAACTTCGTTAAATAATGAATTAGGCCTTGGCCCTTCAATACCAGGAAGAAATCCATTAGGATGTTGGTTCAGTGTGACATCATTTATTTTGAACGTAATTGATATCCTAGAATCATTGAAAAGCTTTCCCTGCAACCCCTCCTTGGCAAGCTGAGCCTCTTCCACGCTTCTAAACTCAACGAATGAGCAGTATCTTGAAGGAAAACTTCTGATCCTTTCAATCTCACCAAATAAAATCATAGCATTGTGCAACATCTGTTCATCAATATGAACAACGGGAGGATATGATATAAGCAAAACATTACTTGGTTGTTCCTTGTCCCCTTTTAGACCTTCTGATGGCAGAATAGGCTGTAAAAAAAACATGGATGACAAGAATATTGACAATGTTGTTTGGAAAAATAGCTAATTGTTTGCAGGACTTGCTCCCTGGCAATGAGAAAGGTATTGCAGTTTTTTGTGCAAAACGTAGATGCCATGCAAGTGCTACTGCATGTACTAATGCCAGCACTACAGCAGAAACTCTCTGGCATCCAGATCTCTGTGGAACAACACAGTAAAGAGTAACAAAGACTAGGTAATAACCTGCAGTCTATTGGATCCATAATTAAGAGGATCAGAGTAATTCCTAGCAGGATCTTGTGGTAACCAAGGTGAAACAAGACCCATACTTCTGTAATGCTGTCCTTCCTTCGGTTCATGGAAATCAGGCCCCTGGTCCTGTTTGATCAAGCCAAGCAAAAAGTACATGCAAAACAAATTGATGACATAGTTAGACTTCCTAAAAACCTCATTTCTGCTTCTCTTTTCTTGGGAGGGATGTTAATTAACATGGAGATTCTAATAGAGCAATCTTGTTTTAGCATAATAGTGCAGAGGAAGGTCTTTATTTTTCAACAAACGCCATAGAACCACACTGCAACATCAACATCTAATATAAATCATCAAGACCCAAAACAATGAACGCCCATTTGTCTTTTATCACCTAGATGGCTAGATTTGATAAAAGAAAAGAAATAACTTACTCTTCTAGAATGAGATCTGAGATAATCCACACGAATCATGGTCCCACCTTTTTGCTTGCCATGCATAGCTTTAAGAGCCTTAGATGCATCTTCTAGTCTACAATAATCAATGTACGCTGAATTTTTATCGCGTTGGAATTTAAAATCCTCAATTTTGCCAAATTTAGAAAATTCTTCTTCTAAATCTTCTTTTAATATGGAAGTACTGATACCACTAACCCACAAGCTCTTACAGGGTTTAGCCTGCCACATAATTTTGAAAATTATATAATTAGGAGAGGTTGATTAAACCATGATAACACCAAACAAACTGAAATTCTAATTAGTTGGTCTTCAAGGCATTTAATAAGAGCAACAATATCCATATTGCAACAGTCAAGCATAATTAAGAAGTTCACCCACGTCCAAACCTCATCTGATTACTCTATGAAATAAACCTTGGATAATTTAGCAAACGACATTGTAGCAAGTGTAAAACAGTATACAATTTTTTTTGGAGAAGAACATACACATCAAGAGATAATACAGGCTTATGGCAGTCCTTTTTTATTTAGTTCTATTTTTATATTTAAAATAGACTAAAAAGTCAAACCTATGTTATCCTTTTTTACTTTAAACCAAAAGAAGACATACTTTATCTTCACAAATCAAAAAGTTTTTCATTACCTGTTCCTTCTCTCTTGTGCCACCAGAGTTTCTCACTCACTCAAGGCCAAGACCCATTTTCTTCCCTCTCTCAAGGACCAGTGTCTGTTTCCTCACTCTTTCTAGAGACCAATCTCCCCATTCTAACGGACCGACTTTCTCCCTCTCTAGTGAAGACCCTCCTGCTTCTTTTGTATATATATACTCCTGATTTCTTGTGTATGCCTAGTTGCATTTTCATTAGTATATCTTGTTAGGTTGTGACCAGAACCAGACATGATATTTTCTTGTGTATGTATATGTTTAGACTTGTAGATTGATATGTTTTTACACTGATAACTAGTATTTTTATGACTTTATGATGTTTAAAATTTGGAATGAAATTATGTTATAAAATAATTTTAGAATACAAACACACAATTTTTACTTTTTAAATCCGTTTATTGATAAAGAAGACCAATATGGAATTTACAGATTGTTGCGGAAGAAGACAAGGTTAAGACCTAATCTAAACAATCTTAGAAGCACACAGTTTGTACAGAAGATAGTTGCAAGAGAGAAGAGAGTTATAAAGAGAAGAAGGTGCTTGCTGAGAAGAGGAGTTTTCTCAGCTATTAATACCCATTGCATTTGATGCAAGTCAGAGGGGACAAGCCACATGGCAAGCTTCTAGTAGAGAGATTGTTCTTTGTCTTCAGATATGCATGCTTTTGGTCGCATATGAACAGTTGTCTTTCACAAAGTTGGTAAGCACGTTTGGAGATAATAAAGTAACTATGTACATGTACTTTTTTGTGTGAGGTATGAAGTTGTCCTTTTTGTGCAAGAGAATAAGACAAAAACTAATCTTCTAGAGCAAGATTCATTTTATTTTACTTATTATTAATATCATGAACCTTGTTTGTTTCCCGCCTCGAGGCTTATGCCTCAAACCGCTTCAAGGAGCCATTCCGTTAAAACCTTGCCTAACACGATTGTCGATGCAAAACATGAGCATGCAGTATTGAAAGAAAACTAAAATTTGTTTCCCATAATACTTCAATTTATGTGCATTGAAAAAGAACATAAAACGAAGGTGTACACATAGGTAATTTGCAAGTAATGCAGCTTGTCCACTAATATATTGACTGATGGGAGAAGCAAGTAGAAAAAATAAAATGATGATAATGACAACAATTATTGAAGAACGTAAATGAATTCATCACCAGCTCCCTTGTATGATTAAACCAAGGTTTTAAAAGACGGTATCGAGACATTGAGGCGGAAATATATATATATATACACCAAAACATGTACATATAGTTATATACTACACAAATATGTATATACATTTATATACAATAAATATTATACAAAATTACTAAGGGTGCTGGTTCAGTGGTTCTGGACAGAAAAGAGTAAAACCGTAAGTTAGGCTGAGAGGGTGTGGAAGAATTGGTTGCTCAGAGGAAGAGAGATGGTCAAACCACACATTTTGACTGAGAGGAGAAAGTACTAGCTTTTTGGGTTTTTAAAATATAAAAAGTACACATTGGAGCCATTGAGCTTTGACTTTTAGTGTTTTTAAATAAAATAAAAAGACGCTTGGGGCCCATTTACTAGCCTCTTACTACCTCTTATTGGATACGTATCTCTTACCCAAGTAAGAGGTTAGATGTTCACCAAAAAAAAAAAATTACTCCACTGCTGACCGTGTGCTGTCCACAATCAGATATGGAAATGGAACTTACCATGGTCAGAGACAAATTTGTCCTTCTAAGTTCTAACCCCTCTCATTCACATTTCACGCCACCTTTCCACTAGTTCTTTTAGAAATTCTCTTTCTCACCCCTGTTAATATAAACCTTAAACCTTGTACCTTCATATTATACAAATAGTTGATTATATATAGTATTTTAGTATTAAAAAAGTTATTCATTATTTAAATATTAAGAGCTCTAAAAGCATGGGATATGTTAATTAATGAACTATAATTTACTTCCAAATTTTAAGAATCCGTAGATGGTAAATCAATTTTTTTCCAGAATTTCTTTTTGAAAAGGCAAAGTCAATTTCTTTTCATTGTCAAACATGGTCGTTTTTTGAAACCTTTTCTGTGTGTCTGAAAATTGATTATTACAACTACTTGAACTATGAAACCGAGTCGACACATAATATAAAACATTTGGTTAACAAGATTTTCTAGTCAGCACTTATTCCACAAGGGTATAATGGTCATTTTTATTCGGTCAGCGCTTAATACAGAATATCTGGTGAACAACAACTTCCGGTCAGCAATTATCTCAATTAGAGATCTTACTCCAGTCAAACCTCTTCTCCCAGTCGGCGCTTACCCATAAATTTTGGTAAACACTGTAAAGAGAAGTACTAATGCCATAAAGCTTATAAAAAGCCAAAAAAAAACATTGCGAAAGCAGATCATCTAAAGCATACACTTCGACAACACCTCATGCCTCACCTAAGCCTCACTGAACCAAGGCATAAGCCTCATCCAGAGTCCAAGAGGTGCCGCCTCAGGTGCAGTTTTGGGCCGCTTCACCTCTAGGCGTACGCCTCAAACGATTTTTAAAACCATGGATTAACATAAAAGAAAATTTGATATCATGAATTTATTCACCAAAGTATTATATGCACAAACAGAGATGCAAAAGAGCAAATGAATTGGCTTATCTAAAGAAAGTTACAAGCAAACTCAAGCAAAACAAACAGGCCCATAGAAGTTAAAAATACATCAGCTACCACTTCTCATTTGGACTCAAGTACTTAAAAGTTCTGAACACCTTTACTTTTTAGGTGAGGGATCATTCGCAAAGTAACACATTATTGCAGTATTGAAGCAAGTCTAACCAGCATGCTTGAGAAAATACCTGTACCACCTTTCAATTAATAATAAACATTTTGTTATATTCTAAATATGTCAAACAATTATGCACTAAACTATTAGCAGTATTGGTTGGCTCACATTGTTCTTTGAGCATACCGATTATGCTAACTAAACTATTAGCAGTATTGGTTGGCTTACATTGTTCTTTGAGCATACCGATTATGCTAACTAAACAATTAGCAGAATGTGCAATTAGAGATTTAAAGAAGAAAAGATTGACACAAGCACTACAKCCATTATGAACACAAACTATATCGAGGATTACAATGAAATGAATAYCAAGTTAGCAACGAAACAATGACAAAGCCATCTATTAGAATTGAGTTCTTGAGCATGAACATAATTAAAGAGGTCGCCAATTGAGGGTCAGTATAGTACAAGGTGGGATGTTCCAGAAGTTACAGAAYAGTAGCATTCACCAGAAAGATAGCACCTTAGTAATAGGTCTATAAGATCTTATTTGTTCCTCAAACCAGTTGAACTTTGTGTTTTTTTTGTCAAACAACGCTAGAAAGCATCCATTCCCCTCTCACTCATCCCCCTTCCCCCTTAAAATGTCCTTGCAAAAGATTAGCAAAGCCGTGTAAAGAGATGTACTAAGTTTTTTTAATCAACGCATGTGGAAGGTTAATTTCTATGTAATGGCGCTTGTATAAGTTCAATTTGGGTTGATTTTTGAGTTCATTGTCCACATGATTAGTAAAGAGGTTTTTAAATTGGTACATCATTTACCATACTGGAATGGCCAACTCCACAGCAATCACATCACACCATACATCATCGACCATTCGGAGTTAAGAATCATATCTTGCACCAATTCAGAAAGAGTGAAAGGATTATCAATTGAGTCAGGTTTGAACTAATAAACCATTACCTCCTTAGCAAGACACGACATCCTCGATTAATTTAAGCAATTCATTTTGTGAAGTGATGTTGACTCAGGATTTTAGCTTTGTGTCTTTAGTTCACTCAATGGTCCAATTTTAAGTTGGACTATTCACGTTTGTTCCATGAAAGACCTCTTTGTTGTGCAAGAATGATATGCCTCAATTTCCTGACGTCATTTTAATTTTATAATGCTAATTTCTTGACCTTTTTCATACTACATGTGGACCATACGGACCTAACCGAAAAAGTGGCAACACAAAAATTAGAATGAGAAATCAGAACTACGTAAATAAGCTGACATTTTTTGCTTAACAAAATTCTTTTAAATTACATATGCACCGACTTTGGTTGCAAAAATTAAGGCTTGAATTTCCCCCTAAACCATATAGCCTACTCGACTTAACTAACTCTTATTTCTCAAGAATTCCAGTCGGAAGATCTCTTCTCCAAATGCATACAACCAAGCCCACTGGAGACAGTTTCTTCCTTTAGTGTGTAATGATATTACAAAATCTGTTGCTACTCATAAGTTGGAAAAATCGGAAAAGCAACCAAGATTTGATACTTCTTCGATTCGTATCAGGCATCTTAATCACAAGAATTTCACTCTTTTAAAAGTTCATGTTTCTTTCATCAGTTTAACCAGTCATAGTGACAAATTGTTCCTTGTCAAATCACTGTTGGCACAACTATTCAAGTTCAAATGGCAGTGCCTGAATTGGTGTAGGTATATGTTCTCAATTGCAATACCATGGATAACATGTAAGGATTCCAATAACTCATTCACATTTGTGCAAACCACATCAACACCAAAAGGTGGATTAATATCAACAATAGTAAGGCTTCAAACTCATCTACATCCTCTAATCAGATAAAACCAAAAGCAATGCATTCCTCATTTAATCAGATAAAAATACACCTTCTATGGAATAAGGAACATGCATAGAATCCAATTTGTTTGCAAGTTTTCAAGTGGTTTTTCTAATTGTTAATTTGCATCTCATGTTTCTAAATAAAAGTATTTGACATAATAAATCTTATCATTTGGAAAGCAATAGCAAGCTAAATTGAATATTGCAGAAACCCTAGACAAAATCTCCGATATTGAATCAAATTTCCACGTACCAGGCCTAAATTTGAGTAACTTTTGGATTTGGAAAGACATAATCAACCATATACTAGTAATGGCGCAAATCGTTAAGATCCAAAATAGCAATAATAAGAACAAATAACCACGTAAACCTAATAAGGTGGTACAAACCGGTTTAGCAAAGTCAATCTTTAGCGGGTTTCCACGTAGAACCACGCCTTGAAGGTTATCCCTAGCCCTCTTGGCATCCTCAGCGCCCTTCAAGTAAATAAACGCGTAATTCCTTGACGGATAACAAGTGATGGTTTCCACACAGCCGTGTTTCTCAAAGAGATTCCTCAAATCTGAATCCGAAACATCGGCAGCCAAATTCCCGACCCATAGATTGCAAGATACAGTATCCCATGACGATTCGCTAGGCTTGTTATTCCCAGTAACAGCGGCAGTGCATCCACCCTGGTTGTTTGATTTGAACGAACGCGACATTAACTTGACACAAATCAAACAAATGGAGTGACGACTCGACCAATTAGGTTGGGGGTTTGATCTTAGATGGTATTGTATATGATTAATAATCGCGATTAGGGTTTGTGATCAGAAATGAAAGAGCGGGAGGGAGAAGATCGATGACGATTGCGACACTTTGGTTTGTAATATAGAGGGACAGGGGTCGAGGGGTTTGGCTGCATAATGCAAGTTGCTAGGTTTTAAAAGAAACACAGTTTTTACTTTTTAATGCAAAATAGGCAAATAGTTTTCATCTCTTTTTTCAAGTTATAATTCTTTTATGGGAAAAATTGTATTAAAATGAAACCAATTTTCATCTTATTCTTATTTTGGAGAACCAATTTTTAAAATCATCATTTAGAGGTCTTTATCAAATTTTTGTTTATTTAAGGATCTGGTTGATCTGTTGAACAGGTAATTTAATGGTCTCTATCAAACTTTTGGTTTAATTTGCCAAATTTGATTTAAACTTTAATATTGATACGAATTGGTTAGATATAAAAATCTTGAATGTGATATTTAATATTTATTTTTTATTAAATCAATTAAATTTTTTTATTGCATTAGTAAAAACAATTTTTATCGTAGTAATTTGGATTTTTATTGAAAAAATCTTCAATTTGATATCTGGATTTAAAAAAAAAACAAGATTTGAAATGAAAAATATATTTTATTGCATTAATTTTTGAAAAAAAAAACGAATTTTAGTTATTTTTCTATAATTATTTTGGAAGTTGGTTTTCCAAAATAGGAATCAGGTGCAAGTTGATTCCCCAAAAAGACGATTTTGAAAGTTGGTTTCTCAAAATAAGAATCATGTGAAAGTTTGTTCCATATTGGTGCAATTTTCCCCTATTTTATCAAGAATCGACACTTTTTTAAGTATTAAATATATTTCTACTTTCTTTCGTATACGTAGGGGGTGTTTGGGATTGTTTATTTAAACTGTTTATTGACTTATTCTTACGTGATATCAGTAATAAGCAATTTTTAGTGTTTAGATTGGGAAAAAGAAAAAATGTTTATATCGATATCAAACCGATAATAAAAGAGTTTTTTGATAAGTTACTCTCTTCTAACTTGTCAGATTCAACTTATTAGCTTTGAAAACCAATTTACCGTTTTAACCCTAAACCAATTCCTCCTTCCTCACAAACACAGTTCACGACCTTCACGTATAGAAATCAAAATCAACCTTCAAGTACAAGAAATTGAAATCGAACACATAAATCGACCTTCAAGTACAAGAAATTGACTTTAATCTACATAAATTGAAATCGACATTCACCTACAGAAACATAAATCAAAATCAAAATCATAAGATGCGAGAAACCCTAGCGTAATCAGAGAATGAAATCAAAATCGTGGAGACGAGAGGAATTGCTTGTCGCCGGCATAGGATATTTGTTACATATATTTCTTTGGTGCTTGATGGAATTAATTTGTTGGTGAGGATTGAGAGGGCATCAGGCATCAAATAGAAAAAGGGAAGATGGGGGAGAAGTTGTTGAAGCTATGGAAGACGGGAGGAATGGTCTGCCAGATAGGCATGTCAACGGGGAGGGGATGGGGCGGGTTTTGTAAGCCTCGGCCCCGGCCCCGGTTTGTAGTAACATCCCCCAGCTCCAGTTCCGGTCCCCGGTCAAACCTCTATCAATCCTCAATCAAATCCCGATAAATCCCCGGTCAAACCCCATTAAAAATATCCATTAGTTTGATTTTACCGGGGATCCCCGGCCCCAGCCCCGATTTGAGTAACATCCTCGGCTCTGACCCCGACCCCGGTTTGAGTCTACTGGGGATCCCCGGGACCCGTTTTAGCGAGGAATCCCCTTCCCCGTTCGAGTCGGGTGAACCGGGTTCCCCACCGAGTCGGAGCAAATCACCATCCCTACTGCCATAAAGTATGTTTGAATTTTGTGTTTTTTTTTTGTTAGGACTATGAATGTCTTTTTTTGGTAATTTTACATGTATCAGCAAAACTTGTCAAACACCAAAAAACAACTTATCAACTTATTACGTTTTGATATCATCATAAGCTAATCCAAACACTTCATGAAATTCCGGTTTGACACCACATAAGATAATGAGCACTTTTATAAAAAAAATAAGTTGTTTTAAATAAGCAATCTTATTATCATTACATCTATTTTTGATATTTTATAGGATGTAGACGACATGTAAAAAAGAAATGTACGTAAAAATCTTCAACACATTGTTTTATCATCAAAAATTCAAACTCATGCCCTCTTATATATAAAGTGGCAATCAAACCATCTTCTATTATAGATTCGGTTTTATATTATTTAAAAAAACCTTTTAAAATCAAGCAGATGCACCTTTTATACAGTTAATATGTCCACCCCCCCAGTGTAGGACAATCAATACTAACAACCAGCAACCAATACAGAAACATATGTTACCGAGGCTCTATGGGTGTAAAAGAATCCGAAACCGAATAACTCACCCGAACCAAAACGGGTTCGGGTTACTCGTTTTGCGGGTTAAATGGTTCAATTAGCCATATAATGTAAGTTTTGGTTCCGATTATTCTTTTACCATGTCAATCAACCAATAGAAAATTATGCTATTATTTAATTTATATAATTTCTTTCTAAATGAATTAGTTTGAGCTTATATAAATTTAACATTAAGTGAGTTGATTTATCAATAAATTGAAATATATTTAACAAAATGGAAAATTGCATTAAAATGTAACCAACTTTCACCTAATTCCTATTTTGGATAACCAACTTTTAAAATCGTCATTTTGGGGAACCAACTTGCACCTAATTCCCTATTTTGAGGAACCAACTTTCAAAATCGTTATTTTGGTGAACTAACTTGCACCTGATTCCTATTTTGGGAAACCAATTTGCAAAATAATTATAGAAAAATAACTAAAATTCGTTTTTTCCAAAATTTAATGCAATAAAATCTATTTTTCATTTCAAATCTCATTTTTTTAAATTTAGATATCAAATTGAACATTTTAAAAAAAATCCAAATTACCACAATAAAAATTGTTTTTTACTAATGCAAAAAAAATCAATTTTATAGAAAAAATATTAATTGATACAATAAAAAATAAATATTAAATATCACATTCAAGATTTTTATATCTAACCAATTGCATCAATAAAAAATCTATACTATTTTATAAAGCATTTGGCTAAAACTCTTAAAAACTCTTAAAACTCTTAAACTCGTTCATCCCTAAACGATTTCATCTATATCCGATTTCATCCCATATCTGAATTCGTGTAACTAACTGCAGATAAACACAATCAAATACAGGATAAACATCTCATTTTAAATATAAAAAATCTAA